ATATATATATATATATATATAAAATATGCAGACTGAAACGCAAAACTCCTTAACTTTCTGTCTTCTTTTTTTCTGTTCCACTTTCCTTCATGTTCTTCTACATGCACCACAGTATAAACCCACTCTTGGACCACATTCTGGGACCCTCTTCAAAGTGCTTCTTTACGAAGGCTGAGATAAAATATAAAAAAAAGATTAAACAAAACTGATAACTTTCTAATGGTTTGTATTTTTAAAATGCTTGAGATAAGATGAAACTTAATGAATTTAATATTTCAAATACATAAAACGAGTAACAGTAACGTTTCAAGTCTTTGAGTTCTGTGATCCCAACAGAAATAAATGCACCATTAATGATTTTCATGTAAACAGCATCGTTGTGTTTATGAAAATCATAAAGACTCAACCTTTAATGTGTAATTAATTATTGTAATTAATCAGTATGCGTTATTATGGAAAATAAAATGAAAGGGGCGTGCAGTTTTTTTAGGTTATCGAGGTGAGTGTGCGTTATCTTCCGGACCATCCTACATACCCTCACTGCAAGTGTTTGTGTTGGAGGTATGGGTATGAAATTACCAACCTGCTGTCCGGGTAACCGGTCACTTGGCATGCGTCTGTCTTCTGCAAAATGCTGCGCCTTTGCAGCCCCTCTTCCCACCCGACACCACCTGCAGCCGGTAACCTGTCAGTCACCACCCTCTTCTCCTGTCAGCATTAACCCATCTCAGCTTTCACTGTAATAACTGATTAACTTTGCATGTTAGGGACAATCACTGCATAAAAATCTGATTTTTACAAACTGGTTTTTCTGTGTTAAGTATATTTACTGAATAATTAAGTATATATTATATATATCTGGAAAAAGTTAACGTCTAAACTTAAATATGCATGCAGAATTGACATGACATGATAGAGGTGGAAGGTTAAAGGCGTATATAAATGCATGGAGTGTGTCTGAGAATTACAGATGTTGTGCCTTTTTCTGTTCGTGGAATATAAGGGGGTGGTGACAAGACAAAGGCTTATGAAAATGGTTCACCTTTCTCATGTTGTTTGAATGAAACTTTTTCCACTTTCCCGAGGTAAAGGGAAGGAAAAAGGAAGACGCTTGTTCTGTAGGTAGGGTTAGAGAGGGTGCATCGAAAGGAGGGCATGGAAGAGAAGAGAGAAATTTTGAAGTTTGAATGTGATAACGGCCGTTGAACACTGTGGAATGCAGGTGGGGGTGGTGGAAAGTTCAGTCCATGCTGGACACGTGGTTCGTTATGGGTTACTTAGGGTTTTTTTGTCTGTAATATACCACAATGAGTTGCAGAAGCCATTTTTAATGGAGAATGAGAATAACACTTTTCAATTCTACTCTCATTGGTGAGGATGGACCACCCTATTTTATATATATATATATATATATATAATAGGAATGTAAGTGGGTTCACTTCACATAATCTATTTACCTCAATTACTTGTTTACATATTGGGTTAAATTTTTTTATTTAGTGAACCAAATTATAATTAGGTTAAATGTTATAAATTCAACCCAATCTTATTGCAAGCACAATATGTTGTTTATTTTTAATGGTTTTTCTGTATAAAGAAAACAATAATAAAATTTATTGTGTGAATGTTATATGAATGTAACGTATTATTAGAGAAAATGTTATAATCTTTGTATTTTGTTTTAGATTGAATTTAATGAGTTGTGAAAAAGAGTCATGATTGTTGTTTTAATATTTTAGTATTTTATGCCTATACAATATTTGTTAATTACTTAATTGTTAAATAAAAAAGACTTATCCAACTTTTTCCAATGAAATTTAATTAAATTGAGCTTAAAGTTAGATTTAATCAAAACATTTAGTTTATTATAACTTTTTCCAATGAAAGTTAAAAATGAATATTTTAAAAAAATGAACTGTGAGAATTTTTTTTATAAATGAATTTATAATACTTATTTTAGAGGGAAGAAAGCATTGTATATGTTTGAATTAAAGATGATAGTGATAGTGAAACCCTATTATTGAATTCCTGCAAAGAATGCTTTTGGACCATATTCATATCATTATTAATTCATTCCCTTTACAGCTTCGAAATTCCAAATAACACGAATAGCAGTGTTCTTTTGTTCTTCTTTCAGACAAGTCAAAACCTCAAATCATGCTCTTATTTTATCCTCTTCTTCTTCATATAATTGCCACAACTATGAGGTCATTAAGCTATGCTGATTAGGTTATAAAGGTAATCTTGAATGTTGGTTGCTCAATGCTCGAGGTTCTTAGGGTTTTATTTTTTTCTCAAGAATGTAAAAACTCACTTTATTGGGATTAATGTCCATGAAATTGTGTCATCAAACTCAATAATCCTACATCGATTAAAAGTTAGCAAACTCAGTAATCTTACCTAGATTAAAAGTTTATGTCAAATACGATTTAAATATTTATTTCTTCTTCCATTATTTATTATTTGAAATGTTTTTTAAAGATAAAATTGTGATAGAAACTGAATATTTCATTATCGATTATCGATCTGAAATTTCATCAAATGACGTTGTTAGAGTAAATTATTATAATATAAGTAGTGCAAATCATCACTAAGATAGACTTATAATGATATTTCATATAAGTCTAAGAATAAAATTATTCAAAACAAATAAGTGCTAAAAAACGATAGTAATCTTGTGAGTAAGAATAGCTTCTAATCTATGATTTTGGATACTAATCACATCACTTATTGAATTTGTAATAAATTATTGGAAAATACTACTTCTTGTAGACACTCAATGTCTTTGGCAACATTAAAACGTGTTTCAAAAATGAATAGTTAGTGGTAAAATTATCTGTTGAAACTAATTATTTTTTCTTACTTCTTTTACAGACCATAATTATATAGCCCATGCATGGTCCGGCCCATTGGGCCGTAATAACTTTCATGATGAACAAAATGGGCTTCACCACCGATGATTTTTCTTCAGCTTAGTTTTTAACTAAGCTAATAAAGAGAGGGGGAATTTAACTAATTTTTATCTATTAACTGGTGTAAAAATGATTTATTGAGAACCCGTGTAAATCGAATATTTACATAATTATTTTTATTCATGTAAAAGTAGTGGAATAGCTATAAACGTATTATAAAATATTGATGAGTTTTTACGTAGCCCGTCTAGCTCAGTTGGTAGAGCGCAAGGCTCTTAACCTTGTGGTCGTGGGTTCGAGCCCCACGGTGGGCGTTATCGTTTTTTAACTATGGAAGTGCTTTTTTTGTGTGACACAAAACACGACAACTCAGAAATGAAACGAAAAAAGTCGACAATGAATATTCGACATTTAAGTGGACGGTGAAAGCCCGAAGAAAGAAATCCAAAAACATGGGACGGTGCATCAAAACTATATGCAAAACATGTTCAAGTTATATTAATCAAAAGAGGTGCATTTCCCACGCCATGACTATTGCCACTCTTCAGCACATAATAAAAGTGAAATGAACGTGTGAACGTGTCTGCCACAATGGTCTACTCATCCATTCTAGTGCACAAAGTTTGGTGCCTTAAAATGTAGTGGGACCAATACCATAAAACAACGAAAATTAATTATTTAACACACCTAAAATTTTTACACTCACATANATGATTTTTCTTCAGCTTAGTTTTTAACTAAGCTAATAAAGAGAGGGGGAATTTAACTAATTTTTATCTATTAACTGGTGTAAAAATGATTTATTGAGAACCCGTGTAAATCGAATATTTACATAATTATTTTTATTCATGTAAAAGTAGTGGAATAGCTATAAACGTATTATAAAATATTGATGAGTTTTTACGTAGCCCGTTAGCTCAGTTGGTAGAGCGCAAGGCTCTTAACCTTGTGGTCGTGGGTTCGAGCCCCACGGTGGGCGTTATCGTTTTTTAACTATGGAAGTGCTTTTTTTGTGTGACACAAAACACGACAACTCAGAAATGAAACGAAAAAAGTCGACAATGAATATTCGACATTTAAGTGGACGGTGAAAGCCCGAAGAAAGAAATCCAAAAACATGGGACGGTGCATCAAAACTATATGCAAAACATGTTCAAGTTATATTAATCAAAAGAGGTGCATTTCCCACGCCATGACTATTGCCACTCTTCAGCACATAATAAAAGTGAAATGAACGTGTGAACGTGTCTGCCACAATGGTCTACTCATCCATTCTAGTGCACAAAGTTTGGTGCCTTAAAATGTAGTGGGACCAATACCATAAAACAACGAAAATTAATTATTTAACACACCTAAAATTTTTACACTCACATAACATTATAACATTATGCTTTTTTACTTTCTATTATATTTTTGTTTAATATACAAAAGTTTATGACCATTTTATCTTTTTGTAGTCTATCTCAAATAAATATAAAGATATGTCATGATAATATTATTCTAAAAACAACTTCTGCATTTGTTTCCAAAAATACTTTGAGATATTGTATTAGATCAATAATAGAGTGAGACATTCATTTGACAAACACAGACAGAATAAGAATAAAATGTTCATAAAGAAATACGTTTCATTTGTAATGAAATTATGACTAAAGAGTTTGGCTTTAGAGCCACTCAGTTTGCGTTATTATACACAATGAAGAGTACTGTGTAGCCTTGGTATGAACAGGGAAGGATAAGAAAGAAACTGTTCCAGAGAGATAATGAAAGAGGATAAGAAAGGTGACAAGGATAGTATTGAATATTCTTCTCTATTAGTCAATAGTAACAAGGGTAGGTTTATTTGTGCTATACTGCAATTCTACTGCACAAAAAACCCAGCAGTGAATCCAAATTCAAAATTTAGTCCCCAATATATATGGTCAAAACCAGCATTCATGTCCCTACCAAAACTTCATTTTACTATTATTTCCAGACCCCTTTTAGTTATCCTTGGACAAGGACAGAAATTGTGTTTCATGTGATTATTGTATGATTATTGAATGCCATTCTCTGCTTCTGAGTCTCTGAGGGTAACTTGACTTCAGTGGCCAACCCAATAGCTTGGAGAAATCTCACAACGTACCAAGTCATGTCTAGTTGCCACCATTCTAGTCCATGTCGAGCTGAATATTCAAAAGCATGGTGGTTATTGTGCCAACCTTCACCAAATGCAAGCAACGCCACCCACCTAATAAATTTTACATTTTGAATAAGATCAAACAACTTGTGAAAATATGAAACTCCAATATATCTATTAATGTCTAGTCTTCCTTTTAAGATGTATACACTTTAGGGTTAGGTTTTTTTGTATTTTTTTTTTTTTTTAAAAATAAAGTCAATTTATAATACATAAGTAGTACAAACCTTACCAGCCGATTTTGTGAAATTGAGTTAAGATTAAGTCAACCTCCTCTTAAGATATTCAAACTATGAAAAGTTTTAAGATAAGAAAAAATACCAATTATTTCTGGACAGGTCCCTGGTGTTCCAGGCCTGATTCCCCCAAACATGGCAAGCTGAGTTTACAAACCAGGTTATGTGATAAACCCAAACAATCCTCACTCCCTGCGTTTATAAAAGAATGGTGTGATTCAAATAATCTACCAAATTGGTGATCCATTTTCTTTGTCTGATATGTGTTATACTTAAAGAACAGACATGCTTTTTAAAGTGAAAGTAAAATGAAAGCAACTTTTGGTACCATTCCCCAAACTAGGAAAGGAAATCCTCCAGCTGCATATAGAAGGGCTCCCAAAGCAAATGGGTGGACAAGGTAAGTGCTTCGGAGAAATCTATAAAAAGGTTGTTTCTCTAAATCACCAACATTGTTTGGCTCTCCACACTGCATTTACATAAAATATCTTATAATAAATTTACAAATACGATGGTCTTGCAGAAGAAGCATTCGTATGGTACATACATACGTACATACATTCATACATACCCTTTCTACGATGGAATTGGTATCAAAGAGCCAACTCATATGGCTGAACCAGAACCCTTCGGTGGGGCTATGAGGGTCTCTCTCAGTGTCACAAAACTGGTGATGGTATCTATGTGTGCTTACCCAATCAATTGGGTTCCCCTGCATCACCACAACAAAACCAAAAACCAAAGCATGAAGGGAGATACAGAGAAAGAAGAATAGCAAGTTTTGAAGAAACAAAATCCACCTGAAGTGCCAGAACCCCACAATAGGCAAAGGAATATTCAAGCCATTTGGGAAGCTTGAAACTCCTATGAGAAAGGTTCCTGTGGAAAGAAAGAGTGATGCCAAAAAGGCCAGTGACAACATAGAGAGCCACAGCCACCCAAAATGCAGGCCAATTGAAATGGAATGGAGCAAAGAGGCAAAGCACATGCATTGCCAACACAATCCCAGCAGTGCCAACATCCAAAGAGCTCCATTTTCTCCCAAACAAAACACTTCTCTCTCTCTTCACCTCAACTTCAGACAACAAAATCTTTCTGTGTTTCAATGACTCACCCTCCAAACCTTCTCCGAATCCTGCATTGGCTTTGGCTGTCACTGCCAAATTATAGGTAAAGGGATTGCTTTTAAGGGAAATTTTGCTTTGTTTTCGGTTAAAGTTAAAGTTTTTAACGGAGCCAAGGCCAAGAACAGTAGTATTGCCCCGCCGTGGGATTGAGCGGTGAAGGGTGGTGCAGCCATTATAAATGGGGTTTTTAGGTTGAGTGGTGATGAGAGCCATGGGGAATTGAATTGATGAATTGAATGGTTGTGTTGAGTTTTGTGGAAGGTGGTGTTGGTGGGATAATTGGTTTGAGTTTTAAGGTGGTGATGGTGATTGTGACATGCAAGTGCAAGTGACCAAGCAAAGCATTAACAACTTGTGGTGTGGCCGGTGTCAGGAAAATGGATTTTGAAGAGAAATTTTGAAGAGAAATTGAAGTTATTAAAGCAAGTGGAGACAGAGAGAGACAGAAGGATAAGGCGCATACCCTGAAGCTGCTGATTGTGAATCACATTGCTTCAAGGGATTCCTCTATCAAAGTTCTGATCTTTTTCTCCCTCATATAAAAAACACAACTTTGTTTTTTCTTCTATCAGTATTCAAAATTAAGAGATACCCTTTTGCTTGTTCTACTCATCTGATGGAGCTTTGCATTTAGTTCTTCATGTTAATTTGAGAAAAAAAAAGATATTGATCCTTGTTTCACACCATTAGTATGGATGTTGATTAGGTCAAATTCTTTGATGATTTAATTAGACCTAATCTGATTTTATTTAATTAGATTAGATTGAATTTTACCTATGATTTAATCAAACACTGACTCAATTCAATTGGATAATCAATTGTGATGTAAACAAATTTGTCGAATTTTTTTAATGTATTGAATAATGAACTTTATTTTTTCTATTGAATTTGTCTAAATTCTTACCAACTTAATT